AAAGGTTGAAAAAGGTTATTATTTTGGAGAAAGTCTCAACAACATCAATATTTCCACTAAATAAGAGGATTAAAAATATTTTGATAAAAGAAAAGCCTCTCAGACTCTGAGCTCAAAGCGAGATGTCAGAGAGCACCAAACTACTTTTGTCTAAATATTAATTTAATTTCACATAATTATCGCGGTAGAAGCCATTTGTTTGTTAGATACTTAATGAAACATATTTACCGTGTTTGATGTTTGTTGTAAATGACGTATACTCACAGATAAATTAAGTAATTAGTTCAAGTTTGTCGTTTATTGAACGTTCAGAAACTACAGCGGCTGTGAAGAGCCAAGACAAAGTTAAACAAAGGTAAAACAACCTGAACAGGTGATCAACTCTAAACCACTGGCACCTTTTTACTCTCCGTCTCTCTCTGTCATTTAAGCATACCCGTTGCCATGGCAACCTCCTGCACTTCACAAGCCGACCAGAGATTACGTTAAAAACATAACATTCAGTCCGTTACGATATTAGGTTTTCAGGCTTGATATTTATTTTGCGATTATTAATAAGCCTCCCTGAACACAGCGGTGGTTGATTAGTTAATTTTAAACTCCTGCTCTGCTAGTTATTTAGGTAATGGAACCGAAACGCACAGAATTGCGCAACACCACCTTGTTGAAACAATAATTACTGAGATTATTGTTGTTGTTGAGTCATCAATTTGAACCCGTTTTGTTGATTTTATTTATTTTATTTTTTTTTTTGTTGTTGTTCTTTAATAAAGTTACGAACGTTTTAAGCGAACCAGAGGAGGACGTGCTGGTCTCAGCGTCCTGGCGGCGTTCAGTTTGTCACCCAATGCCGAGATCGACGTATTGCACCCCTGCTCTGGCAAAGCACTAAGAGTTCAGAAACAATATGAAATGGGGAAAAAAGCTATTTCTTAACTGATTAAGTCGTGTTTTAGATTGTTCTTGAAAAACTAATCACTCACGGCTGCACAGTGAACCCATTGATTTTTTACAGTCGCTCTCCTCTCTTGCAGGTACTGCGTACCCCCGCTAAATCTTTTAGGGGTACGCAGTACCCTACCGTATCCCCCTACTTTCACCCCTGTTTATCACACATCCAAATGATTTCAAATAGCAGGGAGATATTTATTAAAGAAACCCCCTTCTGAATGCAAGCAAGACAACATAGACTGAAAAACTAAAAAACGTGGCCTCTAATGAACAAGAGGCCACCTTATGCTATGATAATTCCACGCGAAATTTCTCTAGAGGCGTTTTATAGAACAGCAAATGGAGATAATTTGGCAGGTGAAGAATCCTGTTACCTCCTCCACCTCTGGGCTGTGGCGGACCACCGGAGCGGCTGTAGCTGTCATTATAACCTCCCCCTCCTCTGCTTCCGCCTCTCGGGTGCTCATTCCAACATTTGTCTCCGTACCGACAGCGGCCCTGGAGGAAAAAGTTACACACGACCATTTTAAACGCGCTGTGACGGGGCGGCAAAGCAGTTTCGCTCTATTTACGAAAAACAGGTCGCGCGAGATCTACGTCATCATTTCGCGTCGGAAAGCGCTCACTCACAGCGACCTCGAGTGGCAGCTTTATCTTAAGACATCTGCTCAGGTTGTTACTGCGTGAAAAGGGCAAGAAAAATTGGAGAGCTGTTTCGTTCAAAATGAAACAAATATCGCTATTAATGAATAGGCTATGAATATTTCATCTAATATATAAAGGTCACCATAAAATTAAAATATTTATTTTTAATGGGGAGCTTATGTTGTCAGTCACAGTTTCATTTATTGATTTGACATATATGGCTTTTCATCATTGCTTTTCATCAGAATAAATGTCTTTAGAAAAGTAGCACATATATCAATGTCTGACTCAGTCTCTTATGTGTCTGCTGTTAGCCCTCCTTTTTTCAACATTTAAGGGGCTAAACTAAACCTTTGCAGACTGTCCAACATTTTAAGGAAAAAAAAAAGACAAATGAATGTAGCAATATATATTACATAATGCATATTAACACATCCTGGCTAAAGTTTAAATTGGAATTGTTGTACAAAAATTTTTACCTTTGGATTATTAATGATTTGTCAACACAGATGATGTATCTGAACAAGCTTTATTCAATATAGGTTACACAATGAACAGCATATAGTATTAATAATAGGATTATTGTGTGTTTTGGTCAACAAAGAAGTAAAGAGCTACCACTTCCTTCCAATAAAGTTACTTCTCACTACATCACACAATCCTTTTCAATACATCACCCTTGGTCTATTACTGTGAGAGCTTCAACACATGATCTGCTGCGTCCAACACGGCACGATTTGGTGCATCACAACAGCTGCAAGAATTTTTAGACTCTTGGAATAAAAACAAATTCACTAAACACTTTCAACACACCAATTTTGTAAGGTAAGGTAATTTGATCTATATAGCACATTTTCAGCAACAAGGCAATTCAAAGTGCTTTACATGAGTTGAAAGGAAATACAAACAAAATAACAAACCACAAAACACAAAAATTAAAAATAAATAACCAGCGTCCAAAAAAGAAAACAAAACAGTCTTCCACATTTTTTAAAATAATTTATGTATTGTACTAGAAACATTGAAAACGGGGTTACATTTGCAATAAAAGGAAACTTTTAGAAAGTCTTCAGGCGATGTAGTTATAATTCATTAAACATTAAAGCATGACCCTGCTTCAAGCTTATGGCAAAAGAAATAACAAAAATAGACTGTGTAGCTTTTTATGGTCTAATACCAGTAATCCAGGGAATGTGAAAAATGTAACTATATATATGCCTGTGCTGATTAATATAAAAATATATTTTTCTTTTTAAAAAGAGAAGAGCTTACAAATGACAGCATCTTTTGTTCCTGACAAGACCAAACAAACTGCTTAAAGCTTCTTCATCTTGTGTTTTGTCAGAAAGCAATCAGTTCTCAAATTCTGTTCAAACTATGACAAATCCCACATTAACCTTTAGTCAAGCTTTCCAGGATTTACCAATAACTGAGGATAATAGTTTTGGCGAGCTAAAACTGGACACAGAAACAACTGGATTGACGGTAAATTGTGACTGATGCTCAGAACTCAGAACCTCCCTCCAGATTCATCAACTTTTCACTTCTTGTACAAAAATATAAACAGTTTATTTAAATAATAATATGTGGGATTAATAACACAGATTGTAAAACTGAGTAAAAGAGCGAAGATAATATGACTAAGTCAAACACTGGAATATGACAAGCTTACGCAAGATAAATGTGCTCAATAAAGAAAGTAACAACAAAGACTCAGATGCCGTAAACTAATGCACGTCGGTGCAGAGCAAGGCCAGGCCGTGTACGCTGAGGCCGAGGAGCAGAGCCGGAGCCCCGTCCGCGTTTTCCATCTCCATCCGGAGCCGATCGGCGTCCCTCCTCAGCGTCACTCTGATGGAGCCCAGCAGCTGCTCTGCCCGCTGGAAGACCTGGTTGTCCTGCAGCGGTGCAGGAAGGGACAGGACGGACACATTCCCACCACTCTCCTTCAACCCGCGCATCTGTTGAGACACGAGCAGAAAACAGGATCGTTTTGATATAGTGTCGCAAGATGTGAATCCTGGAAGTTGGAACCTGAGTTGAACAGGAGGACTACAGGAAGCCGCACGTGTTTCAGTGAGCTGTAAATTCTGCAATGGGGAGATCTTATTACCTTTAGACAAAAGGACAACACCCACTTCCCTCTGATCTAACGGACGGATGGACGTGTTGATATTTTTATTGCAGCAGAATTATTTCACATTAAAAATATCTTAATTCAGTGAATAAGACAGAAAAAAATATATGTTTTTACCAAAGCACACAGACGTCCAGCTTTGTAGCATAGCAGTGAGCAGAACATCACTGTAGTTAACAGAGATAAAGGCTTGAAATCAGTATCTATGTATTTAACAAGTGTAATGTGTTTAAAGTGAATTGAGTCACTGAAATAAATGAACTTTTCAATAACAAAGAATGGGTCTGTAGAAATCCTTTACAGTACTTACGTTCCCTAAGGAATACATTCGATTTGACGGCCATTTGTCTTATTGCAATCGTTCTGAGACTTTTTCCTAAGAAGTACCACCTGAGGAAATACTCGACTTCCCAAGTGCCGTCACGCTGACCGGCAAATTGAAAAAAGCGTTGCAACTGGACTTAAACGTCCTACGTTTTGCTCTGCCATGACATAAACACCACGACAGCAAAACTCTCCATTTCAGCGGGATTGTTTGACCGGCTGAGAGATTTGGCTGTGTTTCATTTTTCATTAGAAAGGTCGGAAAATAAACACAAAGTTTCCTAGATGTGGAAATCTGAATGGGAAAGTTGGTTCTTTCTCAGCGGCCTCGATATGCAACATGGCTGCCTTGCATAACCGATAGTCATAATAAAGATAGACGTATGACTCTCTGAACGAGTTGTATCTCATTAAGTCTTCCAGGTAAGCAGTGCTGCTCTTTGTATTTAAACGAACCGAAACGCATATGCATGTTTCAGCAAGTATATGCATTTAAGGCAAGTGAAATCGACCAACCAGCACGTCAAACGCTGACAGAAAATCAGGTCGACTGTTGCTCAAAATGTTCAGCGTCTCATCAGGCAGCTCTGAAAGCAAAGACATGCAACAAAATTAAAAATCGAGACATTAATCGAGGCTGCATTGATCTATCGCCTAGTTCAAAATACTGTCAAGGTTTCTCTTACCTTCCATGGCGCTGACCAGCAGGTAAGCTGAGGGTAGGTGTGAAGAGAAGCCGGTCGGGACGCATTCAGGGACACGTGAACTCGTAGGAATTGTCTCCTTCTCACCAATAATGGGAGTCTCCGCTTTTTCACAATAGCACAACTTCTCCAGCTAATGAAAAGGAAGGTTTAGAGCTCATTAACAGATGAGAGTTTTTGATTATTTTTCCCTCAAATGTACATAATTTACAAAAAAAAAAAAAAAAGTTTGGAAATATGTAGGCAAGTCACTCGTGTTGCGCAATTTCTCTCGATTAGGCAATAATCAGAAGTCATCGGTCAGATGCTAGCTTTACCAGCATCCACGTCAAGTTAGCGTGACCCTCACCTCACTCTGTAGGTAGGACAGAGCAAATCTGTCCCGAAGAGCCTCTTGGAGCTTCTCCATCAACTCACACCGAGTCGACCTGGGGAGGTCTGCCAGAGGAGAAAGGTCCATATCCGACCATCCTGCAAGATACCCGACAACTTTATATCGTCATCACTACAACTTATTTAAAAACACAACTTTTTTTTTTTTTTTTTTAGGTTTAAAGCTGATGTAGCAGATTCTGTAGTAATGTCTAGGAAGTAGATGTGTTGGCTTGTTCCTCACTCTAAAGCTTTGCTTAAGAAAAGGGAACCTTCATCTTGTTTCACTTCCTCGTGTCAGCTGCATTACCGTTTTACATGGAAGATAAATTATGAATTACCACTGTGTGAAATGGTGAGAGGAGCATCTTCCTGAGCCCCGTGCCCGTTGGAACTGCGGTCCACCGTGTCCAAGGAACCATTGAACGGGATGGAGTCGCTCTCGAAGCCTCCCATAGCGCTGGGTCGCAGGCATATGCCTGGAAATAATCCCAACAGCAGCAAAGATAAACACACCAAGCACTCCCGGTGAAACATTTAGAAATGTTGGTGAGTACAATGATGTCCGGGAACTCACTTTCCTATTCACGCTTCTGTTTTAAGCTTATCAGCATGATAAAAATAGTTACTGGATAATTTAGTTCTTAAAGATCCGTGTTGAGGATTTTTTTAAATTTTTTTAATTTTTTTTATTACTAATCCGTGGAGAAAAGGCTTGTTTTAATTAGCCTGTCTTCAAAGACGGGAGAACGTGCCGTCCAAGAAAAGAAAGACGTGCGGTGGTCGTAATAGGTCAGTAAAACAATTACAGAGAAATCAGCCATTCATCAAACATTTTTATTTTAATTATCTTATCTGCCGTAACATGGAACAAGTGTTTTCCTCTTTTTGTGTGTGTGTGTGTGTGTGTGTGCGTGTGTGTGTGTGTGAATGACGAATTCAAGTTTATGACTTTGAGGAGGATCTTGAGAGAAAAAAACCCCAGAAATGATGCTCGAAGCCAACATTTGTGTCCCTGTTGGAAACCTGTAGTGACTAAAGTTTCTGTTTTATCTTTTGTTTACTTCTTTGACTCAAAAATCCAAAGGTTTCTGAAACTTTTTAGCATTTCAAATGCTTCTTCACAATCCCCCCCACCCCCAACTGTTGTTGAAGAAATTAACAATAAGTGTAAAAATTACTCATACCCTGGATGCAGTTGCACTTCTGCACAGATAAGAGATTTGTGCTCCAGTCATATTTACAAAAGTCTTTGTTCTGAGGCTATCACCCATAAAAGATAACTTTGAAAACTCTCGGGGTATTTGTCATCGAAGAAAATGCTAAGACGGCAGAAAGACAAGGAAAACCCGCAAAACATCTAATATGAAAACTGAAAGCAAAGCAGCAAGAACAGAAGGGATGAAGGATTGATCTCCTTCCCGGTTTGAGCTCTTTTTCTGGACACATTCTCACCGTAGTGTCCGTTCTTTTTGATCTCCAGCTCCATAATGCTGTATGCGATCACGGTGCCGGAGGGGATCTCCAAGGAAACGTCGCTGTCCACCTCAATATTGTTCACGTCTTTTCCAACCACCTAAAAAAAAAAACACACACATTTAACACACATGTAGTCACATTCCTAAAATAATGGCCTTTTTTCTATATAGCAAAAACTGACTTAGTCCACTATTTTATGGAGGTAACGGTATACAAAGCGTCACATAATTGTGAAAAGCTGCAGGGCCGACCTTCACGGAGCCCCCCAGAAGGCCCATCAGCATCAGCACACCCTGAAAGGCGCACTGCTGCTTCTTCGTCATGGTGACGGAGCACCAGTCGGTGGTGAGGATGCGCTCCTTCACCACCGTCAGAACCTCAGCGCGCTTCTCCAGCTGCTGCACCAGGACGTGCTGCATGTCCACTAACCTGAGGCAGACAAAATCTGTCACAACAAATAAAAAGCCCTTTTCTCAGTTTTACATCCTGACACCTCCCTTCCTTCCTTGGGTAGGAAGACTGGCCGAAACCTGCTGTGAGAGTCCTTCAACAGCTTCTTCACATCCAGCTCCTCTATCTTCAGCTTCCCAAAACACGACTCCAGCTTGGACGAGCCCAGTCCCTCCAGGCCGACGTTGACGGGACCGGCCTCGGTGTCCAGCTTCCCGGAGTGATCGTCCCGGTATGTCCCCTTGTAGCCCAGGAATTCTGACTCAGAAACTTCTGCAAAAGAAAAAAAAAAGTGATACTTCATGCACTAAAGTCTCTACTTAAAAATAAAACAATTGGGACATTTAAAAAGAATGCTTCTTAGCCTATTGAGGAGATAGGTCTTTAGTTTTTCTAAGTTTGCATTGGTTTCTACCCATCCCTTTGAACGAGAAGCCAAGAGGCAGTGCCTTCAGAATCGATGGGAAGACGGATGGCGATAATTACACGGCAATCCTGAAAGGAAAACTGATAGAGGCTGCAAAAGACTACAATCTTGGGTAGTGAGGTTAACCTTTGACCCTTTGAACTCAGCGGTTTTAACTTGACAAATATAAAAATTTCAAAGGCTTATAAATCTTCTTGCAAACCAGTGACTGCAGCATCCATCAGAAAAGCGGTAAAAGCCTTATCTGCCGTAACATGGAACAAGTGTTTTCCTCTTTTGTGTGTGTGTGTGTGTGTGTGTGTGTGTGTGTGTGTGTGTGTGACTTTAAAATCCTTTGTAAAAACACGCACACCTACCGGGCCGGAGCACCTCGTCGCCCTGCAGCAGATCACTCAGGGTGAAATCAGTCGGCTGGTACTTGGGCCTCTGCCACGCCCACAGGCGGTTGCGCTTGACGACAATTGCCATGGGGAGCAGTTTGTGGGAGTCGTTAACTCGGGACATGTGGATGAGGCTTCCCTCCGGATCAACCTGACGAACGAAGTTGGCAGTGGCCTTGGAAAACATGGCCTCAGCGAGAGAGGATTCTAGAAAAGCTGAAAGAGATTTTATTTATTTATTTGGGCTTCTTTTTTGACATAAAGAGCACATTGTTTTTATTAACTTAATTCTGCCTGTTAGTGTTGGGTAACCACCTCACATCTTTTTTTTTTTTTTTTTAAGGGTAGTATTTCAGAAAAGTGTGGGTGTTTACAACCGAGCCCTTTAGGAAGGAAGTCCCCTGAGTACTACTGCTCAAATGAAGGACTGATCTCACACTCGCTACTTCTGTGGGGCTCTGACATCGTGGCTTTAGTTTCGAAAGCGCTCAGAAGCAAACAGAAGAAAGTGATTAGAATCATTTAGGACTGTGTTTGGACAGCAGAAATGCTTGAACTAAACAACAGATGCGACGTCTGGCTGGAAGTCATCAGGCGCGGGACCCCATTTAAAACTTCAAGTGGAAGAACCAACTCCTCTGGGCTCAACTTAGCCCTGGATGAGTTGAGTCATCCAGGGCTAAATTTTTTAAGAGTTGTAGTCGTAGTGTCTCTGCCAAACCTTTCCCTCTCCTCCAACTCCAGAATCCACAGGCTCAGATGTACCCTTTGTGAATATTTCATGTTGCCTTTGTTTACTGTGATCTGAACCGAGGAGAACAAGTAGGAAACAGCTTTTATTTTTTCTTTCATCCATATTGAGAGTGGTTAAAGAATGTTGATGATGGAAATTCAAAGAAGATTTGAAGAAATCTGTTCATTTTACCAAAAATCTTTCTTCTGAAAAGAAGTCATGTTAGTTTTTTTTTTTGTTTGTTTGTTTGTTTGTTTGTTTGTTTTTTTTGGGGGGGGTGCGGCCATGCCAGAGTTCTATCTTGTGTTTGTGAAGGGAGATAAAGATCAGGGTGATGGCAAAGAGGTCTTCCGCTTGGCACCCTCAAAATGCTTACATGAAAGGCCAGTGGGTTCATGAACACACCGGTGATTTTAATCAATAATAAAGTGGGTTAAACTGTGGTGATGCCAACAAAGCCTGTTACTAATAACTTTTGAATGGGAGAAAAAAGACTATTGCTCCTCTCTTGTAATTTACAGTAAGTATAAACCCCCAACTCCCCCCCCCCTCTATTTTTCCCCTTCTACCAGCCAGACCCCGCAGCTGCAAGCTGCGCCTGGAGCCTCATGACTCAGATTATAAAATTAAATCAAGGAATCTGGAGTATTTGGAGTGCCTGGAAACGGTTGGACAGAAAAAAACAAGAAACAAAAAAACAAAACAAAAAAACAAAAACAAGTCTTCCCAAAAACGTATTAATAGTTCAGACCTAAACAGAGTTGCTTACCTTACACGTAGAGTGTTAGAGCGCGTTTCCCGGATGTCACACTACGAAGAAAGCCGCGGACTTGACTATAAATATCCAGAAGAAAACGGACCGACAGAGGCTCTTGTCCGAACTGATCTGAGCTGGAAAAGTTCTGGGGTTAAACGACGAGGGAAGGATGGCGTGCAACGACGAGCGGCCGCCCCACTCCACTCCTCCGCCCACCCGGTGGAGTCATATGTACCCTATGGGATGTTTCTGTGTGGTCCATCGGGGCATGAGCAGACTTGCCTTTCCGATTTTTTATTTTATTTTTATTTTTTTTAACTTCTGATCGGTCAAAATCAGAGGAGAGAATATTTAATGGCTCTTGCATTGACCGTGCCTGTCTGCGGTCATGCTTTACATCCTGATAGTGAGAAGTAGGTAGAGAGAGAGAGAGATTTCAATGCACCACATCCTGTCATTTACAGAGAACCACCTGTGCAGAAGAGCTCTTAAAGCTGGTGTCGTCTCATTGGCATGTGACATTTTATGCATTTTATACCATCTGTTATGTGCTCTCATTTTGTATTTGCGGTTTAAAACTTCTGTGTAAGCTTTGAAACGACTTTGGACCTAAAACTGGCTTTGCATCACTGCAGCTCCTCCAGAGTTGCTATCGGGCTCCTTTAAATGGATGGTCACGTCTTGGATGGTTTGACGTTGCG